TCTCAAATAGGCAGCCTTGGCTGGTCTGGAACTTGCTCTGTAAACCAGGCTGGCCTCGAATTCACAGAGCTCCTCTTGCCTCTGTCCCCTGAATGTTGGGATTAAAGGCCTGCACCACCACACCCAGAATTTCCACTTTATTTTTTGGCAGGATCCATCATGGAACCCGGGGCCAGCTCACCTACACTCCAGAGTTCCTCCTGTTTCCACCTGCCCAGCACTGGATAACAAGTGTGTGCCACTATACCTTGCTTTTTTGTGTGGGTGCCAGGGATGGAACTGGGGTCCTCATGTTTCTGCAGCAGGCACTTTACCCAATGACCTATCTCCCCAATCCTTACTTTTTTTTTTTTTTTTTTTTTTGAGAGAGAATCTCCCATAGCCCAGCCTGGCCTTGAACTCTTGATCCTCCTGCCTCAGCCTCCCAAGTACTGGGACTGCAGGTTTATGTAACACACTAACATAAGAGATGTTAGGAAATGTTTGCTGGATTAGAATCCACACCATGTTAATTCTGAGCCTGGTGCACTCTGTTCTTTGAAAAGCTGCAGGGAACTTGGCCGCCTGTGCTGGTTTTTCTTGGAGGTTTGGCTCTCTGGGCAGCTGTCCTTATGTCCCTGGGTCCTTGTGCCGTGAAGCTCAAAGTCAGGGCCCAAGATAACTGAAAAGCGTGTCACATGACTCTAGTCTAGGCCCTTGTCACTGGGCCTCGGTAGCCCCTACACTCACCTTGGAGCCCAGGGCCTCCAGCTGCTGCGCCTTCTCTTGGTTTCCGCTCTTCAGCTGAGTCACCTCTTCCTTTAGCCTCTGGATCTGTTCGTTCCTCGATAACAGGTCCTTCTGCAGAGATGTCACCATTCCTGTTTAGTTTTTTAAAGGCACAGAGATCAAAGAGGAATAATTACTACCACTGCTGTCACCACCAGCCACTGATGCACATGACACTCAGAGGAGAGCTGTGTCCAAGTGTCCCAGGTGCTGGGCTGCAGCTGAGATATAGAAAAAAACTTCCAAAATGGCCCTGGGGACCCTTGTCTCCCCAGACTCCAGCCCTTGAGGGGAACTGGTGTGTATAATCAATATGGTACTGTATGGATGATGGGACGTGACTTCCCAGGTGGGGCATACAGGGCAGTGTGGCTTTCTCTTTGATGCCCTTTAGGTTATGTGGTCTGGGGAGGCCAGCTGTTGCACGGTGAACACCCTCAGGCAACCCCATTCAAAGCTGGGGTCTGAGGGACGGGAGATGGCTCAGTGGGTAAAGTACCTGTTTGAAAAACCTAAGGACCTGAGTTCTGATTTCCTAAACCCATGTCAAAAAGCTGGGCACAGTAGCCTGTGCCTGTGACTGCGGCAATAGGAGATAGGGATGAGAAGAGGGAGAGGCTCACCTGCTACATGGGCGTTGTTCTAGGAAAGAATCTTCAGTTCCCACAGGCCCTTCAGATAACACAAATCCAGCTCCCACCCACATCTTGGCTGTGAACTCATGAGACCGTGACCCAGACAAAGGCAACATTTCTGAACTATAGAAACTAGAAGAGGTAACACATACTTATCCACTACATTATTTGGACCAGACTAATAATTTATATGCTAATATGTTACCACCCTGGGGAGAAGCGGGTGGAAGGGCCCATAGATACAGAGCTATTTTGTCTCACAGCGTTCCGTTCCTGGAAAAACATCTGTCCCCGTTTATTGGTAGGTATCCAGCAAGAAAGTCCTTGCATTAAAGAACAGCATGGTCCATAATTTTATCTGAAAAATGAGCTTTGTCTCTGGACACAGGTCACACAGGTTGATCCCTTTGAGAGCTGCCTGCTGGGTGGGACAGGGTGGCCTTTAGGTGGCTGGATGGCTGGATGGACAGACGGAGGGATCCAGGCTAAGTAGCCTCTGTGCCTGGCAAGGGTAGCCACTAGTTGACTTCCCCCTCCCAAGTTCTTCAGCATCAAAACTACCTCAGCTTGACAATTTGCAAAATACTTTCACTCTCCCCACCCCAGGAGCACTGGGAGGAAATGGTTCACAGGACTGCTGAATCACATGGCATCCTTGTCTCCCCCCAGATGGGTGCTCAACAGGGTTTTAGCAAAGAGATGATATTAGCTTGAACACTGACCATGGCTAACTTCGAGCCAGGCCCCGTGCTAGAGCTGGCTAGTAAACACACTTCTCCTGGGAAAAACCCTTATTGACAGCCCAGCAGGAAGGGCTCCTGAGAACTCTGGAGATGTGCCCAAGCTCAGAAAGCAAAGTATGGCAGTTGATTGGTAATGTCTGCCAGGGTCACGAGAATGGCTGCTCACCTGATGTGACAGCATGGTCCCTCTTTAAGTTCTCCCCCTCGCTCTTCAGGGTTGCGATTTCCGAGTTGCGCTCTGATAGAGTCTGGCATAACACCTGGTTGTAGCCGTTCTGAAGGGCACTGATCTGGGGGAAGAGGCAATGCACAGTCAGAGGGCCCAGGTCCAGGTCTACGACACTTGTTACTTCCCAAACCTCGGCACAGATTGTGATGCCACGTGATCTTGTCTGATGCCAACAAAGGGGCTCAGGCCCAGCTGCCCTCGGACTATTAGCCATACTTACAGGGGTTTCCCATTAGCCAGCACTGACTGGATGTGGAACGGAATTCAAGAGAGGTTGAAGGTTGTCGTCTTAATTTCTTTTATGTTTATTTTTATTTTATGTGTATTAGAGTTTTGCCTACATGGATGTAAGTGCATCACATGTGTGCAGTGCCCACAGAAGCCAGAAGGGGGCATTGGATCCCCTGGAACTAAAGTTAAGTATGGTTGTTAGCCACCATATGAGTGCTGGAAACTGAACCCGGGTCCTCTGGAAGAGCAGCCAGTGCTCTTAACTGCTGACCCATCTCTCTAGTCCCTGTAACCTTAATTTCTTTGGATAACAATGACTATGGAAAATCACATAGAGTAGTCTAGAAGATGAGTTCAACCTCAGCCCAGGGGCTCCCTACACCCCAGGACAGCTAAAAATGTGGCCCAACACAAAATCACAAACATACTTAAAAATGTTGAGTTTTTTTAAAAACTGTATTTACGTGTGTGTGCACACATGTGTGAGGGAATGAACATGCCATGGTGCGCACGTGAAGGTCAGAGGATAACCTGCAGGAGTCTGGTCTTTCCTTCCACCCTATGAGTCACAGGGAATTGAATTCAGGTCATCAGGCTTGGTGGTAAGCACCCACTGAGCCATCTTGCTGGCCCATGAGATTATTGTTTTGCTTTTTTTTTTTTTTTTAATTCAACTGTGTAGTTCTTGCACTTGAACTTTGTAGATGACATCACTGTGTTGTAATGTGAAAAGTCTGGACATGCCTGCTCAAGCTCAAGACGTGACTCCTTCCCTGAAGCCTCACGGCACACTGACATCCCCAACCCATTCCTACTTTGCAAGTGAGCAAATCAAGCCTGGTGGGAGAGCTGGAGTCTCGGTGCTTAAGACTCACAGCTGGTCAGCGATGGGGCTTGATTCAAGTCTAGCCTGCAGGTGCCTGGTTCCTGGTCTTCCCATTTAGCACGTGGCCATAGGAACTGGCATTCAAAGCTGGGGTCTGAGGGACGGGAGATGGCTCAGTGGGTAAAGTGCCTGTTTGATAAACCTGAGGACCTGAGTTCCAATCTCCCATGTCAAAAAGCTGGGCACAGTGGCCTGTGCCTGCGACAATAGGAGATGGGGACGAGAAGATCCTCAGAGCTCTGGCTAACCAGTCCAGTCAGACTGAGCTTCAGGTTTACTGAGAACCTCAAAAAATAAAGACCAAGCCAGGCGTGGTGGTGCATGCCTTTAATCCCAGCACTTGGGAGGCAGAGGCAGGTGGATCTCTGTGAGTTCGAGGCCAGCCTGGTCTACATAGCGAGTTCCAGGTCAGCTGGGGCTACAGGGAGACCCTGTCTCAAAAAGACAAAAA